GGTTTGGGTTGACGGACTCCTCAACACTTTGGAATTCTTAGCATTAAGGAAAAAGCCGATCTGTCCTGCACAGTTGCATATCACATCACCATGTGACGAAGCCTGTTACCCGCACTAATTGTCAGGACAGTATTTTCAGGATACTTAAAACAGTACATATCTGATCAGATATCGTGATTTTTGTCTCTCATTTAAACAGCTAAACAGCTTTTAGATAGGAAAGTAAACCTCCATGGCGCATTCAGCAGTTGATAGAAAAGCACAAGAATAGCTCTCCTCGATTTGAATGAAACACTCAATAAAAAAATATAACAGTAAAGCGAAAACTTACTGAAACAACAACAGTTGGACGATTTTTCGGACATGCAGACGTCTTCTTTTCGACTGTCGAAAGACAGCCACAAGAAAAGCATTTGCAGCGGCTTCCTGCACGATGTCATATGGCTCGATGACGTCCGTTTCTTCGTCACTGTTCGGCAACGACGATTCAAGTCGTCGGCGGTAGAGTGGCTGATTTATGTTCCATCTTACCTTCAGCTCATCGACTTCAAACTGCGGGTACAACTTCAACAACATCAGAAAGCGTTCCAGCGAAGAGATTCTTTCGCGCATCACCTTGCCGCAAGATGACGTGACTAGTTTGTACAATCTAATCTGCGCCATTTCCGGGGTCATTGCCTGCTGAAACTTCGAGAGGACCAAATAAAATAGCTCTTCATCAAAGTCTACATGGTGGAGTGACAATCGCCTCGGTTCTTCCGGAGACAGATACATGCGACTTTGCGGGAGTAACCTTGGTTGACCGCTCGTTACTCCAATTCCCGCAACGGTATCAAGTCGCCACCACGGCCTCCTCGAAATCCTACGTCGATCCAACAGCGGCATTTTTAGTCGAAGAAACAGTAGCGGGCTTATCGAGTACTGTAACTAGCGATGCACATGTCAAGCATATTATGCAAACAAGGAACAACTTTCCCGCGCGACAGTCAAATATGATCGAAATAACCGACATAAACTCCGCCGTTGCCAGTCCATGGCACGGTTGGGAGGGGTGGAGACCGTGGCAAAGTCTCCGTAAAAGTTCGCAATTGCCAGCCATGGTATTGCTGCCATCAAAAATCATACCGATCTGTTGTCGCCCGGGTTACAAAAGGCCGCGCAGGCTGTTGCGAGACAGAGGCAGACTGCGAAAAGTCGGCGATCAGAACCTGTTCATTGCCCCCTGCCAGCCGGGTGCGTGGCAGCACAACGACGGCTGACGAAGACCGACGCAACGACGACGAAGATACCAG